TACAAAAATAACTTGCAAATTCCTCTCAGTTTTCTCCTAGTCTTTCATTTTTACATAAGAAAATGCTATGCATTGCAAACTAATAACTTTATAAAATGTTCATATTATATAACGTGACATATAGTATAGAAACTTTGAAATCTAAGACGGGACCCATCACAATAATATGATAAATGAAGCATTTTACTTAGCAAAACTTTATCAAATTTTTATTTTGTTTACAATTAAATTTATATTGTTTATAAATGTTCATGTGTATATAATATTTGTAAAATTATATTCAGAAATGATGAATCATTGTTTATAATTTTATGTTTCAAGTTATGAGATAATAAACTCATTTAAGAAATGCCATAACAAAAAGAGTGTAAGTTTAGACTCGTTTTCCCAATCCAAAACTTGGCATAAATTTTTCAAATAAAAAGAGGGGGTTATGCATGTGCAAAAACTTTAGATAAAACAATAAAAAAGTAAATATAAACATGTTTAGAGTTAGTTTTGGGTATTCAAGATTGGGTTTAACCTAGGCGTACGTGTATTGCTCCACATATAATTTGGGATATTACAAAAAGTTATAAGGAGGTTAATCATATAATTTTGTTTTTAAAAAAAAAATTCAATTACGTACACAAGTTAAGGCATATAACCTACTATCATTAAGCAATGTTTCTTATAATCCAATTTTTTATTCCAAATTTGATATCATGTAATCCTCATCAAATATTAGCACTCCCTCCTATGCCATGTATAGGTTTTTTTTTTTTAAATTTTTTTATAACTAGGAAAAAAGAACCCTCTGTGGGACATCATAGCATCCATAGTTCTTGACTTCAGGAGTATTGACTGCTGGTGGTGTTTTTGCTTGTTGGTTGCTACTTGTATTTGCTGCTGCTGGTGTTTTGTTTATTGGGCTGGTGGTGGTGGTGGTGGTTGGTTTGTTGGTTTATTTGCTGTTGGTGGTGGTTTGTCTATTGGGCTGGTGGTGGTTGCTACTAGTATTTGCTGCTGCTGGTGTTTTGTTTACTGGGCTGTTGCTGCTGCTGATGGTTTATTGGTTTTTTTTAGTTTTTTGGGCTTGATTTCTCACCAACCCTTTGGCTTGAGCTAGCATATGATAGGGTGCTTCTCTTGGTATCAACCTAGTTGGGATGAAGAGAAGCTCTATGATGCTTTCTGCTTTCTGCTCTTTGCATTCGCTTTATTGATGTTATCCATATGTTTATATGTTTGATGCTATCAATAAAGTTTTTTTGGCTGATAAAAAAAATAGGTCTTGACTTTAGGGTAATCGGTTGCAAGTCAAATTCAATCAAGGAAGAGACTCACCATCAGAATAAGAGAGGAATGCACTAATCCCCAACACAAGAGACAGAATCATGATTAGAGTACAACACAGTCAGTTTCACTGTTTGAACAACGGGTCGCTAATCGTGCCTTCCAGAAGTCGAGTCCTAGTCAACTGTGTGAAATGAAGGCACCTTTCCACCCCACCACCACCCCTAGTGGTATGCCTTGCATTCAATTTGAGATGTTTCACAAGTGTAAAAACCCATTTCTGAGATTTTTCTCTAATCTTTTACTGTATTTGATGTAAACAATTTTTTGTCCCTCAATTTGGTTTGGGATATGTCCCATAAAGTTATTTGTTTCTTTACTCATAGTCAAATGATCCAATTTTCTTTAAATTTAAATCATGTGATCACCAATGCATAAGTTAGGAGGATGACAAACATTTTTTTTTTTGTTTTTAATTTTACAAAAAAAAAAAAAAGAAGAGATAATTTGGTTTTCTTCTATAATTATAAATAAATAAATAAAAGTCACACAAATGAATTTTTTTTGATGGGATACATATAGATGAGTTTAAGGATGAAGAAGGATCCGAACCATTAAATTGTGGATTTGTAGATCAAAAACAATTTTTTTTTTTTTTTTGTGTCTCCCAACTCACTACATACAAACCATAGAGCTGGAAACCACACAACACAACTCACCGTGATTATGATGATGAAGGGGCCTTTAATGCCATTGACATTTTGACTATTCCCTTCCCAAACTGCCGTTGCCAGCCCCCTCTCTCCCTAGCTATTAAATTTTGTACATCATCTCATCATCCTCTACTTTGTGGTGTCAACTTCACTTTAGACCCCACCCCACTTCGTTCAACCAAAATCCAAACCAAACCCAAGATCTTGTTACTCCTATTTTAAGTCCAATTTTAATTGTGTCACTTTTTATTGACTTGTTATTTAATGTACCATTTATGCTAATTAAAATTCATCATACAAACTTTATTGACTTGTTATTTAATGTACCATTTATGCTAATTAAAATTCATCATACAAACTATTGCTACTATAGTAGTTTTTTTAGTGATTTGATTCATATATGATATTATGAAAAAAGAAAGCTCTTATACTGTGTTTGGTTGAAAGATTTGGTGAAGGATTTGGACAGGGAAAGGGAAAAGGTGTGTGAAACTATGTGAAATTTAGGCATATTTTATTCTCATTTCACCTACTTTTTCCATTTCTTTTTCCAAATTCCTGCTCAAATCCCCCAATCAAACACAACATTAGGTATACATATGCAACTTGTTAACCATAATAATAAGAAGAAAAAAAAAAAAAAAACTTAAGTGGAGCCCCTAAAATACAACATATATAAATTGTATGAAAAAACTCTCATTTTGGGGAGAAATCCTAACAAATATATGGGGATGAAGACCTATCTATACACAAGTGAGAGATTTGAATCACTAATTTTTTAATGAGGTGCAAAGATTCTCACTAATCAGATTAGCTCCATTGGCACTAGTACTTTAGTTATGAATTTGTAACCTTAATTAAGAACACCGCTGAGTCTTAATTAAGGTGTTGGGCCGAATAAAGGGTTGATCCAAATCTGTTTTGGAGCTTCATTCGTTCGGCTCTGTCATTCTAATGTAGCTCTGGTGTTCGGCAATCTCTAGAGAGGGTGTTTGTTCTTGGGGGAGTCCGGAGTGGGTGAAGTCCGGCGTGGGAGTTCCGGCCATAAGAGTGCGAGTAGTAGAACAGCAGATCATGGGTGATGTACTGCAAAGGAAGCAGTTATTTTTATTTAAAAAAAAAAAAAAAAATTCGTGAGGCCAAGGGGTTGGTTGTATGAATGCGAGTAGCAGTAGTAGGGGTAATTTGTACTTTCCGAATATCTCTCGATGCATGTCATCTTCCTGTACCTTTAATTTCATGCTGTTAATGAAATTTTTTTTTGCCGATCAAAAAAAAGAACAGCGCTGAGTCTCCACTTAAGTTGTTATACATCAGTATCATAACGGAACTAATTTCACCCCTTGTTTATTTATTTGAAAAAATTAACAATAAGTCTTATTTTGTCTTAAAAATAACAATTGAATCCTATATAGTTTTAATGTGAACAATCAAATCTTATCTTTTGTAAAATGTTCAAAAAATTTAAATCTCGATAATGGTGAATTTTATCAGAATTTTATCCTTCTTATGAAAAATAATTTCATAAACAATTTCAATTTAATTAAAATTATATTTGTTAGTGGTACAAATTATGAATATTATGTTCAATAAAATCATAAACAACAATGGATATACAAACTTTCATTTTTTGTTGTTTAAATCTGTGATTTTTCAAATTTCATTAAAATTTCATCAATAAGCTTCAAAAAATAATACTATAATGAATTCATATATTTCTCAATGCGGGAAATAATTGATAAATTGTATATTTACAACTTTGTTTATAAAAATGTATTTAATTTTAACAATTAAAAATATAATTTTTTTGTTCATATTTTAAGCAGGGTAAAATTAAAATAAAATATACCATTATAAATAATTAAATATTTTGTAAACAATAAAAAGAGAAATTACAAAAAAAAAAAAAAAACTTAGGGTTTAACCTTTGTAATAAAATAAACTCTGAATTTTTTATTTTATCAATTTAAATCCTAAACTTTTGATTTGTTTTTAATCTAAACATCTATCTATTTTTGTTAAGTAAAATCCATAAAAAAAAATATGTATTCCAGTCATTAAACTCAATAAAAAAAAGCGTTTTAGACATTTTATATATATTTAAGTTGAATAACTAAAATACTTTTTTGCTGTCGATTTTACTTAACTGACAATGGTCTAAATTGAAAATAAATTTAAAAATTAATATCTAAATTAATAAAATTAAAAAATCAGAGCTTATTTTATTAAAAGTTTCAAACCTAGAATTTTTTTTAATAATTATCCCAAAATAAAATTTAAATGGTTCATATTCAAACTTTAAAGCAAGAGGCCCATTCCTGTAAGGCAACCTCCATTTGTATGGGCTTCTCTCCAGCCCAGTATATGTTAAACATCAATCTTGACAAACCCGACCTGGCCTGGGTTCCCCTTGGAGAAGAAGCATCTCACACGGACAAAGTCATCCGCTTCGCTTGGCTATCCAATTAGGACTAAAAAAATAAAAATAATTAAGTAAATTAATAAAATAAAATATTATATTTAAATTATAATTATTTTAATTTTTTTGAGTAATGATATATAACTATAATTTGAGAACTCTATAGATTGTGTTTGGTAGAGTTTTAAAATTATGATTTGAGTGTAGAAAATTTATTTAGTTATGAGTTTCGAAAAGAGTTTAAATGAAGTGGTGTGACATATAATATTGAAAATTGGTTGTTCTAAAAAGTGGGTGTGAAATTAATTTTCTAAAGCTGTAACCAAACGACACACTCAAATTAAGGGGTAGAATTAAACTTCAAAAATTCTACCAAACGGAGCTCGAAGTTCTAGTGAAGTAGAGGAGAGAGATAGAGAGAGAAGTGTATGTTTTACCTTCACATAAGTACCCTCTACATTTTTTAAATTGCATTAGAACTTTTAAACATTATTGAATTTTTTATCACAAAAATTTAAAAAATCAATCTAAACAAAATTTTTAATTACAAACTAAAAAAAAAAAAGAGAAACCTAACTAAAACAGTTTTCGGCGAACATTGTTATGACCCACAAACAGTCGCACAAAAATCTCTCACCTCGACCAAAACATGGCTCTCCTTCTCACTTCACCCCCATTTCTCCTCTCCAAAAACACTAACCCTAACCCTACTCTTCGCTCATTCCCCCTCAAACCCCACTCTCTCTCTTTCTCTGTCATCCCCAAAACCACCACTGCTGCCGCCGCCAACCGCCGATTCTCCACCACCGTCTGCTTCTCCTCCTCCACCTTCTCCGGCGACTCCCCCGACGATAAACCGGAAGATGTGCCGGCGGGAGTTGTAGACGAGTGGGGGGAGAAGTCTGAGCCAGAGACCGAGCCTTCGACGAAGTTATCGGACTCGGATCCACCGAAGGATGAGGATGAGTGGTCTGGGGTTAGTGCTGGGGACGACTATGTTACCTCCGGCAATGGAAGTGCTCCAGCGGCTGCGGCGGCGGACGAGGAGGATAGTGGAGGTGATGATAAGATGATGGAGCTGAAGAGGAGTTTGGTGGATACGGTTTACGGGACGAATTTGGGGTATGGGGCTACGTCGGAGGTGAGGGCGGAGGTGGCGGAGTTGGTTTGTCAGCTGGAGGCGGCGAATCCTACTCCAGCGCCGACGGAGGCCGTGGGGGTTCTTGATGGGAAGTGGGTTTTGTTGTAAGTTCATTACTCTGTTTTCTCTAAATTTTGACATTATAGATATATCTATGTTTATGGGAGTGGATTTATATGCTAAAAAGTTAATCAATTGCATTGGACATTGTTGGGGGAAATTTAGTTGGTGGTAGTTAAATATGAATCAGGGGCAAGAAGTAAGACAATCTCCAACCCTTGATTTGAATAGAAGTTTTGAGTAGCACTCTAATGGATAAACTCAAATTTGTGTAAAAAATTGGCAAGTGTCAAGTTTGAGTGGATACTAGGAAGTAAAGGAGAATTTGGGTAAAAACAGCTCTGTGTCAAGTTTTGATTAAATAGAAATTTGAGTAAAGGAAATGGGTCTCCTGTCATTTGAGTCTAAATTTGAGTAAAACTCAATTTGATATAGGATTGGGTAAAGCAGTGGAAGAGATTTTAATGGTTTTTTTTACTAAAATTTAAGTCTGAGTCAAAATTTGGATAAGGATTGGAAATGCTCTAAGAACTCAAAAAGGCAGCATGAGCATGACATTAGAGAATAACAGAATTTGTATGACACTCTGCACTTGTGTGGGTGATCAACAATCTTTTTATGAATTGCTTAAATATTCTAAGTTGCTAATGTATAAGAGTTGAATTTGCATGCTAAAATTGAAGGCTGTGTTGCATGTACTTTGGATTGAAATGTTGGTTGTATTTCTCTTGTTCTTCTATTCAAAAACCTTTTTTTTTTCACAATTACTTCTTGACTGAAACTAAAGAGGAAAATGATGAATATAGCTACAAATTAAGCAAAAAAAGAAATAAAATGAAATTTGCAAAGAATGTCTTCATCAGTTTGTTACTTTTCAGTCTCTTTTCAATAACTACCTGGGCTTGTTTGTTTCTAGAATCAATGGTTTTAGACTTTTTAGCAATGGGTGACTGTAATTAGGCTTAATAGGATAATTTGGATGAGTTGCCTTTTTCGATGTATGAACTGGATATGGTGTAAATGAAGGTGAAGATGTGAGAAATTTAATAATAATTGATAAATGGTGTCAGCATGTGAAACTCAGTGGATTTTTTGCACGAATCCTTTGGGTGGAGCAGGGCTGCAAAAGATCAAGTTGTTTCAGTAGGGAACATGTTGTACATACTAATCACCTGATTGTGTGGTGGGAAGTGAAGATTTTGGTAAATCTGGTAATCTTTGCTTATGGCACAGACAATAAAGTAAGCCCGGTGGGAGATGGGAGCAACTGTTGGGAGTAATTGAGGGGGGCTAGATTATAATCTGTGAAGAATGCATGGGCATTTAGCAATATGGAAGAGTGGATTTAAATTTAAATGGACCAGTAGAATCATACAAGCAACAATTAATAGGCAGATTAATTCATTGGATGAATTACCAGTAATAGGTTAAATATATTGATTTGGTGTATTATATCAACATATTATCAACCTCTGAATAGTTCCCCCAGTCTGCTCACCCAAAACATATGAGCTTTAAGCCCCAAATTTCTAGCTCAATTCTCCAATCTAAATATCTAATCTCGTTGTTCCAAAATTGTGCATCTGTATTTGAGTATGAAGAACATTACTAAAATTTTGTTGATAAGAGATAAAAGTAGTAATACTGGAAAATAGAGTTGGGGATCAAGTGTTCAGAAGTTCACATTTCTGTTTTTCTCATGGAACTTGAAGTTGGAATTGGACACAACCAGAAGTAATTTTGTTCTTATGGGGTGCGATCTCTCCTCTTTTATTTTTTGGTTGTGTAAAGTGTAAACTATTATTATGATGTTCGTGACCCTTATTCATTGAGTGGAAAATGCATAAAGTTAAATGCATTTTTTTTAATGTATAGTCAATGCATGAAAAATCAAGGATAAGGGTGGTTTTAAGAGTGAAGGAAGTGTTAAACGGCTAAAAAAACAGAGAGTAATGTACGTCAAACAATTGATTACTGTAAGCATCAATGTGGATTAACTGCTTTCATCTCCCCCAACAGACACACACACACACAAAAACTGCTGTTTTCATGAATTATTTTACCCTTTTGATTGATGCAAGTGCATTTCACTACTTGGATCACTGTCATTTAACTTCAACATGTTTGCTTAGGCTGGGTATAATTCAAGATCATCTACGTATGGGTATTTATCAACCAAAAAAAAAAAAAAAACTTCATCTACATATGGGGTATAAAGATAAGGATGTAGCTGGAAGGACTTGCATTGACAATCCTTTCTAGATCTGGACCTGAGTGGAGTGCAGTTGGGGACATAATGAAACTGGAAGAAGTGAGCTGTCTAAAATGTATTAAATTAGTAAGGATGTGCTTTGCATACTTTCTGCTACTGGCATGTATCACAGGGCATGTTTGGTAGTGTATGGGGGATTGGGCTTCAATAAAACTGTGTCACATGGACTCTTCTAGTTTCTCTAAAGTTTTGAGACGGATAAGAGTGTGGATATGTGTCCAACAAGCATACCCAATGGAGACACTTCTCTAATTTTTTACAATGTTTAGAGAAGAAGAAGCTCACATTTGTTAGTAAAAGAACATTTCTAGTCTTTCACATGGATGAAAGATAGAAATTTTATATTTTTCCTAAATCAAAATCTTATCTAATTTCAAGTACATTTTTTTATAATTTACAACACCTTACCTAAGAATAAAATATGCAAGATTTGTGTATCCATGACGCGTATCCCTGCCCATCTCCAACTTTAGGATACATATCCCAATATCTTAAGAATTAGATTTATGAAGGTTTGACGCTTTCACTCACCTGTACCCAAATAGTCTTACATAGTATGTCATCCTTCAAAATGATGTACAATTGGAAAGTGTTTATTTGGTTTATTCATTCAGATGCCTGGAGAATAATATGTTGTATTTGTAGATAGAAACTTGATATAAGTGGCTTTTAAACTTTTTATTTGTTGGTTTACTTAAATTGGTCCTTATTTTTATGTTCTAACCATCAGGTACACTGCATTTTCCGAGCTGTTGCCTCTTCTGGCAGCAGGCACCACTCCTTTGTTGAAGGTTGAAAGGATTTGCCAAGTAATTAACACTAGAAGCCTTGAGATAGAGAACTCTATCACATTCTCCAGTCCTTTTGCCACTTTTTCCTCCAGTGCCATTGCCAGCTTTGAAGTTCGAACTCCTTCAAGAATACAGGTACTCCTGATCACAAACATTAGCAATTGAACGTAATTTTTTCACGCAGCTCCTTCACCAGGTGACCCACCCATAATGAAAATGGATATAATGAATAAAAATGAAAAATCATATTTATGATCAGATCATGGGAATCAATTACATTCTATAGTTGGCTAACCCAAAAGATCTTTTAGGGGTGATGCGTAATTGATGGAAAGTAACAGGCTTGGACGAACTATATAATTAGAATGGTAAATTACATTTTTCACCCTCCAAATTTCACCTAAATTTCACGTTGGTCTCTTGCGTTCTAATTGTAATGAAGTCCTCAGACTTCACCTTGTGTCTCAATTTGGTCCTCCCGCCGCCCCTACCTTTCAAAATTTGAGTGAAAGTCTAAACATAAGAGACTAAAATAGAGTTTGAAGTGTAAATTTTCATAAAACAATTTCTTGAAATGCGCCCAAACGTGCTCATGTTATTGCTTTATGTTCAAACTTTTAATTGTGAGTGATGGGAGGACTACATTGAGACACAAGTTGAATTAATGAAGACTTAATTGTTGCAATTAGAAGATGAGGGACCAAAGTGAAATTTGAGGGTGAAAAGTTTAATTTGCACACATTCTCTGGTAAATTCTGGAATGAAAATGGGTGGGAGAATGCACATTAGACTGTGTTGAAGCATATCATTAATTTTGAATTATTGGAAAATTTGGCAATTTGTTTAGCTACATTATTATCTAGCATTGGAGAATGATTCTAAAATGTTTCTATTACATCCACAAATTTGCAGGTTGAATTTAAGGAAGGGATCGTGCAGCCCCCAGAGGTCAAGTCGAGCATTGATTTGCCAGGATATCTTGATATTTTTGGGCAGAGAATCGACTTGTCTCCTGTGCAGCAAGCTCTTAATCCTCTGCAAGAGGTGGTGGCGAATGTAGCTCGTACTATTTCTGGTCAGTCTCCTCTTAAGGTTCCCATTCCAGGCGAGCGAACAAAATCGTGGCTTCTTACTACATACCTTGACAAGGATCTTCGCATCTCAAGAGGAGATGGTGGCCTTTTTGTGCTTGCTAAAGAAGGGAGTCCTCTTCTATATCAGTAACCGACGGATTGTGATTTCTAAAATAGGTATATTTATATTTATTATTACCCGTTTGTGTTGTTGTGTTTTTGTATATCCATGATTAAAGAATTACTTCTTTTCTTTCGAACCAACAAGAAGAAAATAGAGATTCAAGTTGTCTTGATCTTGTTCTTAATGTTCTTTTGGTTTTGATACAACAAAGTCAATATATAGATGATCAAATTTGATTTTTTTTTCCTCTTTCCTAGGCTGACATATGCTTTTATTATTTCTCTTTTCTCAAATTGTGTTTGATGTTATAAATTTACGCTAACTTATACACCCTTTTATAGGTCTCACAAAAAGCATTTCCCAAACGAGGCGGAAAATGTTGTTTGTATAAGCGGACTACTCAAGTCTGAAAATGATGCTTCTTTGTAATCTTTGTGAAGGTTCCTAGGACTCATTATTGAAGGCGTATATTTTTTTTTTGCCTACTGATTTGAGTTAGTCAGTATCTATAAGGTTCGTACCTCAAAGGGCGAATCAATTAAAATTTAGGTTACTTTCACGGGTTTTCCTCGATAATTTGGATAAATACAGTGCTCGATTAGTCTGGGATAATTAATTAATTACACCATGCTTCCTTAAATTGTATAGTTGTATAACAATTTCACCGATGCTATTAGGTCACTGTTAGTTTTTAGCTGTTCGACTATAACATCAACAAAAGAAAATGTATTGAATTCTGATTTCACCCTTTAGAACATTATTCCAACAAATTATGGAAATAAAGATTAAGCCCAACTCAGTAGCTCCATCTCTTTTTTCCTGCAGCCTTAAAAATGTATTAATGTTAGAGGAGAGAGTAAAATGATATTCGCTAATAGTTTAGACGCATAATTAATTTATAAATAAATTATGTTATAATTGAATCTTTTGACATGGTTAAACAATATAAGTAGTTTCAATTCTTGACTAACAATTTAATATGAAGTTGATGCAATACGAGCAGGACATGGTTGTCACTCTTGGTAGGTTTCATGCCCCCCACCCCAACTAAAAAAAATCATTACCCATTTTACTTTTTTTTTTTCTTTTTGTATAATTAGCTTCTTTTTTTTTTTTTTTTGGGAACTCTTGTATAATTAGCATTAACAACAATTCTTGCCACCTATACTTCAATAATTGTCTACATAGATAAGTTATTTATGTAACAACTCTCTGTATATATTTTATGTTATAGAAGTTAATAACATTCATCATTTGTTATATAATATAACCATGTAAAAGTCCTAGTTATATTTACAGAATACTGGTGGCAGTAACTATAAATAAAATTTATTTGGTGATATATACCAATGCTCTCAATGTTTAGATGGTTACGAATCTTTTATCAAATTTGAATTTGATGAAAAATGAGTCATTGTTTTGCTCCAACAGTTGCCTCAAAGGGGTATTAAATTGAGGATTTCACTTTTTTTTCATCAAGGTGAAAACCAATGTTTCTTTCATCAAATTAGTATTCAATGTCATTGTCGGATGTCCTCTCAAATGATCACCTCAAGTAAAAAATCTGTGAATAAATTACAATGGCCAATCGTCCACCCGATTGACCGGTGGTTTAATGAAAAGTCAAAACTCTCCGTTGGAGCACTTGATAACAAAGGAAGTTTTTATTTATATTTAGTGAAAAAATTGATATTTATCACTCTCTTTTTTTTCTTATTAAATTGGGAAAAAAAAAAATTTCATTTGAAATCGATAAAAGATTGGATTAATCTATTATAGCAATGTCACAAGATTTCAAAAATAGATAAATAATTTCCATAGAATCCTAGAGGATGAGAAAAATAATTTTAAAAGAAAGTTTTATGTATCATAAAATATAATTTATTATTTTTTCACTTGTGAATTCATATAGTAAATGTTATTTGCACAATTAAGGGCTGGTTTGAGATCTACTAAAAAAGATAAAAAGCCAAAAAGTTATCAAAAAAGTCAAAAAGTTACCTTATCTTTATGCATTGGGCGGCAAAACCCTGTCTGAATCTACAGAGGGTAAAATTACGTTTTTGCCCTTCTTTTTTGTTGCTGTATCTGAGTCGAATATATCACAAATATACGTTATCAGAAAGCCCCTTTCCTTCTCCAACCTCCATTTGCAAGAACGGCAAGCAAGACAAAAACCCTCAGTCGGTTGAACAAGTCTAGTTCGTCAAAGACACACCGCCCACTGCCGAGGATCCGTCACACCCTTCACATTGCACCACCGCCACAGCCGTGCCAAAGGTAGACCTCGACGCGATCACCTGAAAACTGTAACCGACAGGAAGGACCATCCATCGTCCTACACCACTGCCGACCAGATCTACACTACTTCGGCCCGTATCCCCCAATGAACAAGGTAACATCTCTTCCACGCCACTAATTTTGGGCATGTGAACCAATTTTGTACATTTCCCCATTTTCGGCGATTTGGTAAGTGCAAAGAAAATCTTCGATTTTTCCTGAACCAATTCTGTACATTTCCCCATTCAGAACCTCTATGTAGCTCAAAAATGAGCCCCCCGAATCGCCCGAATTAATAACTTTCTCCACTCTCACATTTCCACTTTCCAACATTTTCTTTTCTTTTACCTTCTTCATCACTCTCTCATCTCTCCTCTGTTCCTCCACTTTCCTTTGTCTTTAATGGCTGCCCATAACCTAACCCCTCTATCATACTACATGCGTGGGTCGATGTTTTAGCCTTTTGGGTCTCTCTCTTTTTGGTCGGTGAAGATTACCCACAAAGCCCTTCAAAAAATTTGTAGATTTTTTCTTCTAGGTGTGTGATGGTTTTGGGTATTTAAAGTTCTGTAAAGCTTTTGTTTTCTCAGATACCCATTGAGAAAATATTTTCTATTTTGACATTTTTTTTCTTTTTTTTTATCTTGGTTATGTGATAATATGCTTGTAATGTTCAGAATTTTGATTTGGATATTTCACAAAGCTTGAATTTGTTGGGTCTTTAAATTCTCACTTAATGTTTCAACCATTTGGGTCTGTTTCTTTTTTGCTTGTTGAAAACATCTAGAAAACAAATTGGAGATTAGTGTTTCAAAACAATTGGGGCAAATTGGGGCATCATCACTGTGTATTTTGTGATTCAATAGAAGGTTTAAGGTTGAAGATTTGACATTTGAAGGAAATTTCTTGAGTCAGTAATGGTTACTTGTTTCCGCCATCGTTAGCGTATGAGAGGAGTTGGCTATAGTATGAGAGGGTATGACATTAACATAGGACGATAGGTAGTTTTTAAGTAAAAGGAAATTGATGACAATTTTAACTACGAACAGATACATATATCATTGGTAATTTTTTTAAGTAAAAGGAAATGGATGACAATTTTTTAAATAAATATTGTTATTCACCATTTTCATGTTGTCACAATGTTGCTTTTTGACATATGCCACAATTACTGTTGCATTGTAGTACCGAAATGGAGCACTCACAATCGCAGTCGACACCTTCGAAACATTTGCGTAAGCGTGGTAGTAAACAGTCTAAACCGCAATCCGCAAATGTGCACAAAGCAAATTAGGACTCTGACACGGTGCGCATGTTCTTGCAACTTGTTATCAAAGAGTTAAACTCAGGTTTCAAGGGCAGCTTCCATACAATGACAATGCACGGATACAGGGCTGTCGTCAAGGCCTTCGAGGAGCGTACACATAAGATCCATGATGTGAAGCAACTGCAAAACAAGTACGCGTTACTGAAAAAGGATTGGCAGTCATGGTCACGCCTGATGGACAGCAGGCATGGGCCAACCGGCATAAGTTACAATGAAGCAACTGGTTTGATACAAGCATCCGACGACTAGTGGGCCCATTATGAAAAGGTAACAATTCCATATTCTTGTTTGTAACATCCAACGTGATAGTCATGCATATGTTACAATATATATTTTTAAAAATTCTTCATTAATATTTTAATGTGACCAAAAACAAGAACTAAACCTGGTTGGACACCTATTTTTCACCCCAACTACCGTTGTTATACTTGCCAAATTGCCTATCCGTCTCTCTATCTCCCTCCCTATGTATGACTGTTTTGTGAAATTTTTTTAACTGTTTTGTGAGTTTCTGCGGGCAAGTACTTGACTTTCACTGCCATTTCGTACTCCAAATTGCATTGTTGTGTGTTTGACTGGCGTTGAACCTATGTGGTTACCTGCACACCTATTTTTTACTCCAAACAGGTTGCTTATATACTTTGGTAAGTTGGCCAAGCAAGATTCATTAACAAATCTCCGTGCCTCAGGTTGTTGTGTCTTGGTGTTTTATGCTTATGAATGTGAATGGGCATGTACTAGTAGTGCATGAGTAGACACTAATTTGTTACGTCACGTTGCTTTGGGCTTATCATTCAGTCTTCAAATAAACTAATTTCATTTGCGTAGTTGACAAAAAACGCCCACATGTTTGTTTGTTTCCATTCCCTCCCTGACATGTTAAGCACCTTCCCAAAACCCTTACATCATGTCACTATTGTTTTTGTGTTATCTTACCTTGATTGTTTATGTTATGGAGATGATTTAAAACTCATTTGCAAACTCATCCGCCTACCATAGCACATTTTCTTTTTTCTTTTTTTTATAACAGTGTTTACCAGTAGACGAAGAAAAAATTTTCTCAAGTAAATGCATGCACCACAAAAAAACATCACTACTTAGTAAGACATTCAAAAAAAAAAGAAATTGACTAAAAGTAAGCTGACTCAGACTATCATAAAACAAGCCGGAGTTCATTTTATCATATATTAGGTATGAGCTAGAGTCCAATCAAAATCTTTTAGCATCCTGAGCTTGAGTTGAGCATGAAGGTGTTCACTTTGGATAATTTCCTTTGGCTACATTATGAGCCATTCTACAGAATAAACTCTATGTATTCTACAAACAATGATATGTGAGGCCCACCACATTTTTATACAAGAAATTTGTAAAATATACAACATTCCTAACCTTTGCAGGTAAGCCTAATAGACTAATCAAATCCAACAACACCGATAATGGACTAAGAAAGTCTCTTTTGAAGACATAATAGATGGTATAATGGACTTGTTCTATGTCTCGTTCTGCAACTAGGTTGGAGCACATTGGAACAGACTTTTTATGCAACATAAAATTTCAATGGAACTATTTGAAACTGTCAATGAAAGCAACAATATTAGATAATTGTGTCATGATAGATGACTGGTAAGATAAAGCATAAGCAAATTACATATGACAATTACAAATGTCATATTTATGATATAGCATAGCACTGATTAGAGGGACAGTATACGAAATCAATGAAGATAATCTACCAATGCAATCAAGTCACATCACTGCAAGAATTCATGCAAGAGACCTAGCAAAAATATAAGGTGTTACTCATCTATATTGATAATGTCCTCCTCATGTGATCCATAATATTTGTAGCTGACTAAACCTATAACATAAGCATGCATCATGGTTGTTGTGTTTCTCATCCTTCCTTGTTTTAAGTTATGTTTATGTGTTTTGGTTTTTCCCAGATTGACAAGAATGCACTGAAGTTCAAAACGAAACCGTTGGAGTATATGGACCTCATGCGAAGGGTGTACGAAG